AAAGATTCATCATGAACAATAGATACTAATGAGTAATCCTTTGTTGCAGTTCCTCTAAGATTGCCTCTGTGACGTGTAATGAAAACGAAGAATTGGCCATTTAGTCACCTTTTTAGATGATTCAACACAAGCAAAATTTTGGGTCTTTTGTTTGTATTTCCGATTAATTTTGATCATTAAAGTGGTATTTTGTTCTCATATCATCAATTATTTGTTCAGCAAGGTATATTAATTAGTGATATTTGATTTGGTTGTTTATATAGGGAGTATCTGGCTAGGGTTCATTTTATAACGCCTAAGATGGGGTGATTTTTAAATATATCGATTTGATAACTGAAACGAGGTGAGTAATCAACGAAAATCTTGCATGAAACTAATTTTGTGCCATCAATGAATGATTGAACAAGTTTTTTGTTGTTGTTGCTGTTTTTGTTGTTTTATTTAGTAATCTTCCGCTCATTATCATTATTTTTCAATARGATTATACAGCTTGCAGAAAGCAACACTAAACATTCAATGCTCGCTTCTCGCCTTTTACCAAATGTTCGCAAGCAGCTAATATGTCGTTTGGAAACARCWCAGAAGTCTCTTTGARTAATTCACAAATGTTCAGCATTTGCGAAGAGCTAGGGGGCGAAAAGGATCCRAAAGAGGCTACTGCAGCTTCTCTTACGACGTCTTTGATCGCAATCATAATGACGTCCCTGYCATGCCCGTTGATTATTTTCTTCAATTTTATGATCCTCTTGGCCTTTTACAAGAAATCGTCTTTAAGAAAGAAGGTAAATTTGATTCTCGGAGTGATGGCATTAACCGATYTCATCAGAGGTATGTTAGGAGCTCCAGTACTCATTGCAAATGRAGTACTTTACCAAAAAAGACAAGAACCAAAATGCTATTTGATTRTAGCTTTGGGTTTTGGGAGCTTTGCYMTCGCCGCTCAGTATGAATTCTTATTGGCTGCCMTGAATTTCGAGCGCTTCCTCAGTATCGAGTATCCTGTGTGGCATCGAAATAACGTCACAACGACACGACTTGTAAAAGTTGTTATTGGTTGCTGCCTTCTTCCATTTTCTTCGATGCTTTTGCGATGYTTCCTAGCACAGGGTCTTTTTCTCTTTCTTGGTCTTTACGCYCTTTGTACCGTATTTACATTAGTATTTGCTGTTTTAATATGGATTGTAATCAAGAAGAGAAAACAAAAAATACACATCACAACTGACGAGGCCGAAGATTCAAGAACAAAGTACATTCAACYAGAGCAAGAACAGATAAATACGCCCACGGATCGAGTAGTTCAAAACCATATTTTATCATTTGAAAGCACCCAGCAAGGGATTTTATCTGCATCAACCAGTACCGAGGACCAAGAGCCATCATATCGAAGAGCAGAGAAAAAAAAATTGACAACTTTTAAAGTGAAAGCTGATGTGACTGTCTTAAATGATCCTAAACTCACTCAAAAAAGCCAGAATCCAAAAGAATCAAGCTTCTTGAGAAATTCACCAGGAAAAGAATCACAAATCGATTCATTGGGTAAGACCATGCAAGACARTGAACATCCTCAAGATGATTCCAAGAATCTACCAGAAGCCAAACATTTCAGTACAACTCAATTACGAAGAATGAGTTATAAGCAAGCTTGGCGGAATSAGCAACATATTGTTGAGATTCAAGGTGAAGCCCATCATGAAAACAAACCGAAATCTGCAGGAAAACAACATTCTCAAACAAACAAAACTTCTAGTATAGAACAAAAAGCAGCAAAGGTGGCACTCTGCCTTGCCATTACGCTGTTTTTTACAAGGGTACTACCAGTTATTGTACTGACTGTGTTGCTAAGAAATTTGATTGGTGTAGCAGCACCACTGATCCAG